GCTGTTAAATAAAATTTATTACGATATTTATTGTTCCGCTTACGTATAGTGGAAAACTATTGTGACATAACTGTAACGTTCCAGAACGATCAAAGTCTTTAGGCATTACAAAGGCAACAACAAAGTAATATGTTTTGTGTTGGCGGATGCCAATAGCCTAAATAAATGCCATAATTTATTTGAAAACGACCTCTCATTCGTTAGTTTTTCTTTCTTTTTTTTTTTTTTTTGTTTTAATAGATATAATATTTCAACAAAATCTCAAAAGTCAAATTTTTTGGACGTGTTATCGCCAAGAATTTGAGTTAAAAGCAAGCTATTATCAATAGAAATTATTTTAATGGAACGAGAGTTTAAGTAAAAGTGCTTACATCCAAAAAAAGACGACAAAGTGAAAAACTGCATTCCTTTACTGTGACATATTATTATTATTGTGTGGGTACAACGCGTACCGCCACCTAAAATATTTTATTTATTTAATCCTAAATAGTAGCTTGGACTTATAAAATCAAATTTCAAATATACCGATTTCGAGTAGCATTTATAAGTTAAAACAGGCGAATATATTAAAATGGGACACAAGGTTCCACTAGTAAACGCTCTACACCACCTTACAGTTATTCACATAACGACTTTTCACAATAAGGCATCGTATCGGGAGCGATTGTGAAAAGCAGTCCGATCCAAATGTCAATAGCATTAGTCTTTGCGTCAAAACATGTCACGATTTGGTGTAATATAAGGTGGGTCTATCCCAAATCTTTCTGGTTTTCCCACTTATGTGCACAAGCTTAATATGTAGGGTAGAACAGACATATTTTTGGTAAGCTTTTAAAATAGATATTTCGAATCGACTCTCAAGATGAACATTCAGTGTTTATATGACCCATTGTATACCCACATAGTAGGAAGAGTTACATCCATTTTGTCAAAATGTTCGCAACACCCAGAAGGAAGTTTCAAAGATTCCATAAAGCATAAGTGTTCAGCACCAAACGCTGAATCGATTAAAACATGCCCGTCAGTCTGGTTGCTCATCTGGCCATTTGCCAATCCTTTTGATACCTGCGTTAAGCATATCTCCGTACGCAAAAGTGAAGACATTGGGATTTTTCGCAGCAAAGCTGATTCATAAATTATAATAGACACGCGGCAAAAATGTTCACGTAAGAATCAGCAACGATCATCCAATATTACACAGAGTGTGGAGAGTTAGCCTTTTCATACTTTTCTTTTTAGGCTTTTTTAGGATTAAGATGGTGACTGGAAACAAAACGCTTCAGTGACAGTTGAATATAGTTTTCTTGTTGTTTTTGTATGGCAAAAAGAAAAAATTAAAAGGATGAAAGGAGACTTTAAACAAAACTATTGCATTGCCCTTCCTCCTCCATAAAGCTTTCTAAAATAGCACCGAACACTTTGGCAAGCCAATCTCGTCCCAACCTCGACATCGCGTTTAAAACTCTAGGCTAATCATTTAAGAATTTTAAAAATTGCAATGATTCTGTTTGTTTTGTTTCCCTTTGTTTAGCATAACATTTTGAGTTGGTGAAACAGTTATCATCATATCATGTTCCAAAATGCAACCGAAGGCAGAACATCTACCTACACATAAGCCAGTAAGGTAACCATACGTATGCATTAGAAGAGTTTTGTGTTTCGCTTCCATAGGACTTGGTCTTTTAAAAGCTCCTTGTAATCAGTAGTCACTCCATGCGTCAATGTAACAGAATGAAAAAGCTGAGATGTGAATCTATAGAAAATCAGACTTCTTGCAAAATAAAAACATATGGGCACCTTAAAATTGCACGGATATCTATAAATTTTAGTATCATTTCACAGTAATCTGTAGGCTTTGGACGCGGACATACATACATATGAACTCAATGAATTCCATTGAGATAATGCTCGATGTTAATTAATTTATGATTTTATTGACCCTTGTATCAGACAAATAAGACCAAAAATCATTGCACTCATCTGTGTATATTATCAACGCTAGCGCAACACCAAAAACTTGTCATTAATACCGCATCATAATTGACGTATGGAAAATATAGAATATACATACACTGAAATTAACGGAAAAGTCAATAGATATTTGAATATTCATTGTTTAATTTTCACAATTCGGAAGCTGACAGTTGAATGCCCGCGAGTAATTAAAGCGTTTGGATAATTTTTTTATGACATTGATAAGTTCGCTCAGTTTTCTCCTTTTCTCCTAATATGACGTTAATCTTGGGAGCAATTCAGGTTTAAAGTTTACTACTACCAAAGTACAAGCGCAAGTTAACTAGACACCACTAACCGAGGAAGCCATAAGAAAATGTAGGTGGATTATTAAAAAAGAATAAATTTCATCTCAACGTAAAGTGACTTCCATTCTCGACACTTTGAGTGTTTTATATAAGAAAATTTCAATTAATTTTGTTCTTCATTATTTTCACAACCGAAAATTCTGCCTGCTACAACTTGTTACCTCCTGCTGAGAAAGTCGCAAAGTCATAAATATTTCCCTTCGCCTACATTTCAAAAGTACTTGTAAGTGTAAAGGAAATGATGTGAAAAGTAGGTGAAATAGTTATGAGTAGATAAACATTATTGAAAAAGATCTTTTAAAAATTGTTTTAATAAGATTTATTGCCCTTGGGTGTATGCTGTGGTCAGTGTTCATGTATTCAATAAAATCTAATTATTGTTATTGTTATTTTTTAGAAATTACATAATTATACAGTGCGCGATGGTTTATTGATTGGCTTTTAACATTTTAACTGATAAATTGAATCACACAGACTGGATTATATATATATAGACTGGAGTTATATAAGACGAATGATATATTTATACACATATTGTATCAACATTCGTTAGCATTTGCTTACATAAACATCTATGACAGCTTTGGTTCCACGATATTAATATCTCTATGATCCAGGCATTCATTTATTCGCATACGGCAACGCTGCAATAGGATATTACCTGTGTCCACTGCGGAACCTTGTTGTGCTTTTGGCAGTGATATGAAAATTAAAATTCGCCGAATTTCTCGTCTCTTTCGATTATTCTTGAAATTTTTTCCAATTTTTATAGTATATCCTTAGCTATTATACGGTAGTAGAACTTCGTTGCCTTACTGCCTACATCTTTATTGGCTATTTTAAAACAGATAGATAGATAGTCTGCTCCTTTTTTTCACAAAAGAACTAATTGGCCTCTCATTGAGACCCAAGGAAGTGTTTGATTCATTGTCAAAACCACTCGAGCGCAGTTTAATGCCTCATATTAACCATGCTGCCAAGTCACGTATTTCTCATTGTCTGCTTGGATTCACTCGCCATGATTTTAAGGCTTTCTCCAAAGGCATGTACAAAATGATGTCATAGATTAGCCATAAATTATTGTTAAAGTCTTCGACCTTAAACTAGCCATAGATTATCGTTATAGATAGGATGTCACTGAGGGTTTCTGTCATACTTGGTTATTGGGTTATCCTAATAACATCATGGCAGATCCTTAAAGGGGTTCATGAATTCATAACGCAAAAGAAGAGAACATAGAAATATAGTACAAAGGATAATAAAAATTAAGAAAATATGAAGCAAATGAATATTTAAGGAACCACGGCTCAGTATAACTGGTCCGTTTGAGGCGCGTTTGTTGTGATCTTACCTAACACAGACTTCGCTCTAACTTTTGTCCTCGAATATAGCAGTTGTTCTACTTATTCTTCTTATTAAATAATCATTATTCTACTTATTCTATAATCAAGCCGAATGACTGCGAGCCAATGCAACATATAAATGATTAAAAAAGCTAAAACTATATAAGGGAATTTTCAGTGAAGCATCACAATCTCTCTTGCATATTATATTTTCAAAAAATCTCATATACGAACACGTAATGGAGATGTAAGTGATATACACAAGTGGTAAAAGGGTGTATTAAGTGTGTGCAGGTGTATGCAACATCCAAAAGGACTTGAGATAGACCCACCTTTTATTGTACCTATCGATTCAGAAGGTGATTCTAAACTCGTCTGTCCGTCTGTCGTTCTGCCCTTGTTTTCGTGTATTTAACATGCAGGTCGTAAGGTCGCAATTGTTGATATGGTTTGGTGAAGTTCGGTATACTGTTTTCGGACGTGACCGGATCACTCTTTTGATCACTTCCCATGTCATATCTTCATCTGCAAAGTCCTTATCTGAACAACTGTAGCATGTTGTAGGGTATTTTGTCGTAAGTCTCGGCTCACTATAGTTTCTTCAATTGTTTTAAATTAATTAAACTTTTTTTTATTATCCATGTAAATGAAGATATTCGCTTATCACTCAAACATTTTGGATTGTAGTTAACAATGAGACACGAGCTAGAATAATAATTCAAAAAAGTTTGCACCGGCAGCAGAAGTAGATTATTTAAGAGAAAAGATTAATTAGTTAAGTAGTTATATTACTCACTATATTAAGAGAAGGGATACTTTACATTTTCCAAATATTTGCAATGCACGGAACTTAACGGAACCGATTTACATACGCCTATCTGTCTGTCAAATATGGAAAGATTTTCTCTGCACGAAAAAGTGAAATACTTCGACATCTTCTTTGACTTGTAAACATGATCATGCAACTATCGGCAACAAAAAAAAAAAAAGTATCTTAGAACATGCTGCATCGGTTTGGTCCTCTTTCCCTGTGCACCATAGACGAATGGTAAAATTAAATGCTAATAATTAGGTAAAGTGTTCACTTTAGGTCGGCTTGAGTACGACTATAGTTAGGGAAAGTGCTCTCTGATCTTTATTATTTGATTATTTGCATTTAATAATGCTGCTACAACCTATTACAGATGACATGGCGTGCGATTGCATGACATATGTTAATTTTATACGGTTTCAGCGAGATTTATCAATTTAGGATCTAGACAATAGGAGTTAATAAATACACGAACCTTACAATAGCATTTATTAGCAAATATTTTTTCAGTTCAAGCATAACAAAATGCATTCTTTTTACCGGCCGGCAGTTATATTTATATCTATATTGATAACTGTGCAACCTGCTAAAACTCTTTACCGTTTAATTTTCGATGATCCCGATATATTTTGGAATTGTCTTAACCGACCAAGAATGCGTCAAATCACTGACGCCATAGACATTAGTGGCCTGGATATTACTTACAATGATGAAGGCTTGCATGTAAGTGGTTCAGCTGAACTTCTTTGGGATATACAGCAAACGGATCGTATAACGGTAAATATTCTTGTAGTGCGTTTTGCAAGAGTTTCTAAGACATGTCCCTGTTCATCTACGCAATATCTTTCGAAAATTTTTATATATATATTATTTTATTTATTCATTTTATCATCTATGTAAATGAAGCTCATTTGATGTTCGATTAGTTTTAATGGTCTCTCCGTTCTTTACGAAAAATTAAGAAGGCTTCCAATTGACGAAAAAAAAAAGATAACAGATGTAACATTTGAGATACAATGTATCTGGCGTACTATCTATTTACATAAATATAAATTTTAACATATGGATAAAGATGATTCAATTAAAATTTTTGCAAGTAATATGAAAAAGTTTGTCATTAACTTTTTATAGCTACACCTTGAGCTGATGAAATTTGTACGTGGTACATGGCAAATAACGCCTTTTACAGTAATAATAAACGATTTATGCAAAAAGATGAAGGACCCTAGCTCTGCCGTATATATATATTGGACCAGACATGTAATTACGGATGAAATTCTGTGCCCTAGCAAAGGTGTACGTTTTGCCAATCGCACTAAGCTTTTTCATATATATAATAAAAATATATACATCTGTTATATTTAATATTCAGCTAAGACATCGTTACGAACCATTTCTAGTACACTTTAATTTTGAAGACGTGCAAGGCATCAATATGGAGGGACGATATAAAATTGTAGGAATTTTTGAAGCATATGATGAAAACAACCAACCGCGACCTGACTCTCTTTGTGGCGAAGCTCCATGTGAAATAATTAAAGTCTAGACGTAAACTTTATATAAAAGTTATTCTTCTTTGTCTATTTGCTTCTACATTTCAATTTGAATATTCTACTAATATAATAATATAATGCTAATGTCCTACTAATAAAACTAAAAAATCGTTCACGCAAATAGAACTACGTTCTGTGCACAGTTCTGATATAGCTAAGTTGAAAAATATTATTATTAAATTATACATCGGTTAATAATCGCCTGCGATAGAGAGTGTCTAACATATAACAAAATTATATTCATTTCGATCATTCGCTTATGAACTACAGCATTACTATGGAGTTGCAATAATCTCAGTGGTATGGCTTCTGCCGTTTTCAAAACAATAAAATACTCCGAAGTTTGTGTTTGGGTAGATCTTTGGGAATACACATTGCAAGTAATGTTTCGGCAAACAAATCCTTGCACGTATGTGCGCAAATAAGCAGCGCCTTTAGGTGAAAAGACTTTTCTATTTCTAGAATGGAGCTAGCTATCAGGTAACGCTTGTCAACGTCTCATGTTATTTCGATCATTTGTTTATAAATTGCTGTGGTGGAGGGTGGAGGCCGCAACCTAGTGGATAGGTGCCCGATCGTAGCTACGCGACATAGGTGAACATAGGAAAAAACATCCTTCAAGCTAAGTATTGGCTTGAAAAGTGTTAATGAATATATACTCCGTCAAAAGCAACCATTTCTTGGTGGTTTTCTGGTTTCACTGGTCGTTAGTCGAAAAGCAAAGTAGCAGGCGATAGCTCACATTCTACAAACATCAAAAAGTACTACTCGGCTTAAAAATGTTTATATGAAAAAGCCATCATGTAAAAGGATTCCATGTGAAGTTACAGTGGAACAAAAACGACGAATCAATGACTACAATTACAACATTGCAAGACTTCCAATTGCTGTCCTATCCACTGAAGCGTATTCTCACTGTTTTGATGAAGGTCCCATAATACTTGAAAAGTATCGGACTAATTATTAATCCTCAAGTATACTATGCTGATGGACAAAGTCGAATTTCGCAAAAAAAAAAAAAAAATTGATACGTATTTGATCTCTGAGGTAATCTAAGAACTTACCGAAACTCGTTCTCTTCAGTAGATCTGCCCACAATTAATCTTCTGATTCCTCGATTCATGAAATTGTGCTAATTCCATTGGTATAAAAATATAGTTGAGTCTATCTGAAGAATTTAGACATCTTCAAGTCCCTCAAGCGCAATTTCTCTGCGTTCTAACAGACTTGCGCTACTCGCTTTTGCAATAATCTATCAGCACTAGTTTGATTCGCCTTTCAAGATTCTGCAGCTCTCAAGTTAAAAGCGCACAAACCTTACATCTTCTTTATCCCCTCCTTTGGCAACAATTCTTCTTAATAATGACAGTGCCTATCGTGTCAGAAAGAAAAGCGCGTTCTGGAACTAGCACAAGCTCAATATGCCCCTAGTAAAAGGCGAAAGGGGTGTAAATAAGAAATATTATGGTGTGAAGGAAAATCTATCCGTCAACCTATTGCTAATCTTAAAATAACCCAGTGATCAAATTCCTCTTTGAAACACTATCCTATGTATTAGAAACACTCAAATTGTGCAACATTCCAGACTAGACACTTTGTGCTTAATAAGAGATAAATATTGTTTTATACACTATTGCAGACTTTCCACAAACTAAATTAATCCGTTCTTGCTTCTTCTTTGCATTGCCAGATATATTCCCTGTACCCTTAAAAAAAAGCAAATAATAATAACTGTAAGCCGGATGGCGAGCGTCGAACATTGAGGACATGTAACGTGCGCTCCGTTTCCGTAAGTGCTTTATTTTATGCGCTATGTTTTAGTCGTTATCTTTGATATTACTTGAAACACTTTTATCTCTTGTAAGAGATTTTGTATTGTTTTCATAATGCCGCACGCATGCATCTCACGCGTGACATGAAAAATGATGCAACTGTAAAAATAGAATTTTCAATTTCTATCACCACGAATGCCATGGCAAGCATTAAAGCTTTAAAGTCGTCAAAATCGAAAAAGCAATGATAGAATTTCAAGGCGTTGAGTTTACTTTTGTGTTCATGTAATTGTCACAGCAAGTAATCATCAACATTTCCAACTGTGCTCGTGTAAACAATATTTCATACCATGCTGCACCGAGGGTGAACTTGAGATTACTCTAAAGATTACAAGTTATTGACTATGTTGTAGCTTGTGTCGATTTGTTCAATGGTCATCATATTCTGTGCTGTGTGAACATAATTTTTGAAATAAACATTGAAATCATGGGGTGGACGAGCTAGTGTTGATGCTGCCGTCGCGATGCGAGGAATATTTTCCTTAAATTAAAAAAAATGCAATTTAGGAGGGTTTTGCTTTAATTTTATGTATTTATATTATCCACCTTAAGGATTTTTAAAATTGCGTATTAATCCTAGAAGATGAAACCTGTGGTTAACAACAAGTATGCAAATTGGAATCGTAGAAGAAGCCCAGTATGCAATAGAAATCACTGAGTTTGAATCAGGATAACAAGCTCAGAGCATTTTGATTTTCTACTCATCTGAGATAATTTTTCAGTTTTACGCGACAGAAATTATGAAAGGTAGCTTCCATAAATCCCGGACAAGGTTTTTATAAGTCGCGAAACTGTTCACAAGTGATATTTGGATTCCCATGTGAACGAGTTCTAGGAATAAAAAGTTGAAGGCTTTTGTTTTGCTTTAGTAGCTTTTTCATCTGGCCAGTGTGTATAAAATTGTGAAAAGTAAAATATTTTCTAATATCTACATATATCATTTCATCGCTCCACCAACAAGTTTCAAACTCACATAAGTGGTGAATCGTGAAAGTGGTTGCATAATATTGGTTTGCTTTGTTGAAATTTGAATTTTACCGCTATTGGAAAAAGAAAAGGGGAGCTATTTGGAGAATAAAGAGTGCAGAGATTTTGGGTAGACCCACGTACGCTATTCACATTGGCCACATCACTTAATCGTGAGTACATGCTTTTGTGCGTGTATGGATTACTTTTAAAAATTTTAACCATAAAGACTTTTTTTGCAGCAATTTCGAAATCCTCTGAAGCTGACTACTGTTCCGTGGGCTTGCGTGTATGTGTGAAGGCCATCTTATCGAGGATAATTACATTTCATATATACAAACAATGTATATATAATATGTACACCCAACGATTTTAAGAAAAAGCAATAGCAACATAATGAAATAAAATAATTACATAGCATGTGGTAAGCATGAAGAGATAAACGATTGCTCATGTAAAAGAACTGAATAAAAACTGACCATTAGTAGTAATGAGATATTAATTTATAACAACAAAGTAACTTACTCGCTTAATTGAATTCATTGCACATATAAGAAAACCAAACGACATAAGCACATGTGAAGCGCACTTTAAAACGCTCTAGATGCCGTACTTTAAGAGAAAAGTGAAAATGGTAACTACTAAGAGAATTAAATTCGCTCGGGACCGAATCTTTTATATCCATCCCCGTTATTCTTAAAAAAGACAAAAGGAGTAAAAGAACAAAGTTTTCATGGTCTGCAATATGGATTGGATGCAGCTGATTTTTTTTATTTTCAAGATAAAAGTTTTTGCCGTATAGGCATGTTGTCGTTGTAGGCGTGTCCTTTGAAAGTTTCAGGTCAGCTCCGAATTCTTTTGCATATTCTCGCTAACGGTAGCATGTTTCCCGCATATACTACAAAGCTGCGCAAACAGACAGATGAACAGACGAGCAGGCGGACATGTTCAGGTGCATCCAAGATTTCCAGCTGACCCCGAATTTGTATACTTGATTGGGTTTTGGAAGCTTGTTTGTGCGCATTAATAAGGGATTTAAAAAACAATTAAATTTTGATATACTATAATATTGGATCAATTTATGGCATTTTTGTACACAAATGCTACATCGTCACCCATAGAATACCCGTTTCCAACTTTTGTCCTTTTTTTTTGCTATAGTTTACGAGTAATGAGCAAAAAACGAATTTGTCACTTCTTTCAAAAAACAGAAGTGTTATCAGTTTATGCGGTAGTGTGGGCGTGTGCTTCTACCGATTTACCCCAATTTCAATACCAACCTGCGTACAAGAACTTCTACTGTTTCTAAAAAATTTGAAGTCGATCGTTTCATTTTTGCGGCCAGGAGATCGTTCACAACCGACATAACTCTCTGATCGTCAATGTATATATATACCTTGTAGGATCTCTGATGCCTCCTTCTGGTCGTTGCAAACGTTTTGACAAAATGAACTCTTTGGTATACTAAGATTGACGTACAGGTTATAATTTAAAGAGAAAGAAATTCCCCAGTACTTGCCAAACGGTACCAAGTAACGAGTAACAATTTACATTCGTAAGCACGCAAGCTTATACAGCAGTTAGCTGATTAGAAATATTTTCCCATCAAATTTTAAAACAATCTCTGCAGATAATCTGCGCACAAATTTCAGTTTAATATATTGTACATACTACCTGCGGACAACGCAGTTTTATATAACTATAGTCGGTAAAGTCGTCAAATTTACCGCACACATCCACTAAACAGGGGCCATTTCCGATCTCTTTGTCTTTTCCCCAACGACTTTCTGACCATAATCGTGTTAGACGTGTGGGGGACACCAGCTGCGTGATTGGTTTATTGAAAACAAGTTTGTTTTTCTAAACAAATTTTGAATGTGTGTAATCGCGACTTCGGTAAGGAAACATATTCGGTTACATATAGATGAATTGCTTCCGTCAGTCCCTCTGGTGAAGGATATATATATATATTGTAGAGTGATTTTTTTGTACACACTTTCTTGTGTTCTTTCTTTGCATCCAATTGCGAACAAAACAACTTGTTGTTTTATTCTCTTCTCGCTAAACATTACAATATGAGTCAAATTAAGTCGTCTAGCTCGTATATGTAATAACTAATGCCTTATGCATGCACGCGCCGAGCATAGAAGAATCTACGACTGATGGCATGCTTGCAATTAATAAAACACACTCGA